CAAGAACCCTTGGATACCCCATTTATGAATTAAAGAACCTCAGTAGTTCTAGAATATTTTGCGCCTAAAGAGGAAGCTAAAATTAAAACATAATATATTGCTTTGCTATAAGCTTCATTAGCACTACCTTGTTGCACTTTCAATCTGTCATGGTGTCTCTGGTTCAGACTGTATGCCAGGTTTGTCCCACTTTTCTCAGAAGAGTTGTTGGGTTTCCAAGCACCACTTTGGCCTGTGTCCCCAGTAAGATTAGTCAGCTGCTCCACACATGTGATGCACTTGGGTAGAAGGCTGTTTACATCCTTGGCCTGAAATGAGTAGCTTCCACAATGCTTTTCTTCGTTTTTCTTCAGTTGGCGGGGTTTTTTCTGGTTTTTATTTGTTTGCCAGTTAGTTGTGGTTTGCTCCACACAAAAATGATCAGTTTTCCTTCCTCACAAGTTTTTTCCACTTTCATTGCCATCAATCACACTTTTAGGTGTCACACTGGGAAATGAACTTTTCTAATGTGCCACATAAGAAACTGTTGTAGAGGGCCGCACCAATAAGCTTTTAAAGAACTGAGTTCAGCTTCTTGTTCAGTCCCAGTTTCTTATGTGCCCCCATGGGAGAACTCATTTCCCACCTTTGTTCTGGGTAACTTGAAACTGAAAGGTGTGTCTGTAACTTACATAGTAATTTGAAAAAGTTACACATTGCAGTTACATATTGTGATAATACCTTATACTCAATACAAAATCCACTGATCCGCCTTAAAGGTGGAACAGACTACATCAGGTCACACCTTCAGTTTTTTTGTCCTTGAGTAAATAATTGCTAGTTTTGTTCTCTTTTTGATCAGGTAATGACAGTAAAGTACAGCCAATCCAAGCTTTGGTCCCAGTTGGTTCCCCCTGATTAAATTAAGTTATATATCTATTCATAAGAGCACAAGACTCACAATTCTTGCACCTTGTGTTGAGACCGATTTTGATTGATGTTTCTTTGACTAAATGATGGAAAACAATGAAATCAGGAGAACAGGAGCAGGCAGACAGAGTGAAGGATAGTCAAGTCAAGGGTATCAGTTATGACGCACTATCCAGGACATTTATACTCTAATTTGCCAGTCATCTGGGAGCCCTCTGTACTTGCATGTGTGTGTCACATTCAGAGGACAGTCTGTCGCCCAGGGGCCTCATGGGACCCTCGGGGGCCCTTCTTCTATTCCCACTCCAATTACAGTCCCGCCAGCTCTCTGTCACTGATGCACACACACCAACAGATAACAAAGGACTCGCACAGGCTGGAGGACACATACCTATATTAATAAACTCATCTCTTCCTGAGAGCTGTTGATGTGCATAATTGCACACCACTAAAAATAGCATTTAACTACAAAGCATGCCAAATGAGTGTGCAAATGTATGTGTGTGTGTGTGTGTGTGTGTGTGTGTGTGTGTGTGTGTGTGTGTGTGTGTGTGTGTGTGTGAGTGAGTGAGTGAGTGAGTGAGTGAGTGAGTGAGTGAGTGAGAGAGAGAGAGAGAGAGAGAGAGAGAAACTTGAATGTTATCAGCACTGCACCTCACAACAACAGCAATTCAGCCTTTTCTTGAGGAACTTTCTTTAACTTCCTGTCTTGTCTTGTACTGATTTGAATGATTCAAATACACATACAGCAGCTTCACCGGCTGACCAGCTGCTGGAACTGCCTGACACTAAACATTTTATCTGCACCTTGGCTTTCAGAAGTTCAGCTGCTGAATTCGGTCTTCCTGAAGTTTCGACATGAAAAGACGCAACGAGACAAGATGGCTGCCAAGTTGAATAAAAGAACCATTCATTACAGAGCAGGAGAGGGAGAGGGAGCAATCTCTCCTTTGAAAGTCACCAGGCTGAATCCAGGAAAACCAAAGGCTGTAATTAGACAGAGCCATTACAGCCTCACTTTGAATGTTGTGTGTGCGCGTGTTGTATTATGTTCTGGTGTGGATGTATGGACTGTAATTGTGTGTAAAAGGGAGACCAAGTGTGTGCATCCATACAGACAGATGTTAAACTGTCCAATGAGATTTTGCAGGGGTGTGATTTAGTTAGAAAAGTTTGGTGTGTGTATGTGTGCGTGCGTGTTATGCCTATCCTATATGTGACCTACAGGAAATGCTGCATATTTGGTAACCCTATACATGCCCAGCACACCTACACATGAGGTGGACGTCACGCTGAGAGCAATGATGCTGAAAGACTTTTGATAAAGGACAGCAGTAGGACAGAATCACACACACACACACACACACACACACACACACACACACACACACACACACACACACACACACACACACACACACACACACACACACACACACACACACACACGAATAAGAAAACAAGTTAGTGGCTTTATGCAAGAGACAAGGGAATCAAACTCACTCTATAAACTGATTCAAAGTTGGGATTTGACTGTGCTTTGTTCACCATGACCAGAAAAACAGCTGCGAGAGACATTCGCTATTATGCTGTTGAGAACCAATGATAGTGAGTCAGTTCCTGGCACTGCTGTTACATGGTGCGCATCATCAATCTCTTTGCTTACATAACTTTGACACCGGAGCTTAGGTAAGTGTTGGATTCCTGTTTCACCGAGTGTCTTTAACCAAATTTTGTAGGACAATGCGCTTGGCTGTAATTCTGCTTTCACAACTTTGCCATTTTATGAAGGGCAGTTTGTGTTTTCTTCAGCCTTTTAAAAAAGAAAAAAATATTCCTAATACCAAAAATAAACATTTCTGGGTAACTTTCACAATATCTCAGGTTAACTGAACAATAATTAATATTGTCAATGTTTAATCGACAATGCTGAAAAACTAAAACAGACTGGTGACTTGCCCAGGGGGTGCTCCACTTTTTGCCCTATGATAGCCAAGTTAGCCTCCAGACCTCCCAACGCAAAAGAATGTAGCCCGTTATCAATATATAAATAAAAAAACATATATTAAAAATACATGATATTTTTATGTTTAGAGAAGTAAACAAACAATTTAAAGTTCATTATTCTAATATGTAACATGAGCTGGATTTAAGATTTTGTGGATAATGGTTATTATAATAATGTTCACACAGCTGTCAAACTGCAAAGTCTATAAATAGACAGCTTCTTATATTGCACTGATATTTTAGGATGTTTAATTGCATATCAGTTTCATTTACACAGAGAAGCAGGAGTTGTTAAATGACACTGAAATGGTCATCGATATAAAATTAGACTTCACTAATGTGAGGCTAATGTCCAGTGTTATTATCTAAAGTTTGTTAATGCTTTGTTAATTATCTACCTCCACCTGAGCCAGGTACCAGGTAAAGTCACATGACTCCTCACTACTTCCCTGATGTTCAGGGTGTTTTTTGTTTCTGTTGTTTAGGAAGGCAACTTTGTTTCTTTTTTAATATTGTGTGTTATGTGGTATTTTGACTCCCCAGTGGATTGCACAGCTGTGTAGCTTTGCTGTAAATAGACTCATGTCATGTACAGTAACAGCTATCCAGATTTAAAAAGCTACATTTAAAAAAAGTCCCCCCAAATCCCCCCTCGCAGGCACCCTCTCATATACTCCCCTACACATTACTCAACTCCACTCTACTTGGCACCCACTCCTACTTCTGTGTGAAGTCTGCTTGCTGTATGAAGCCCACAACACACTCAGTGTTTTTGTATTGGAAAAGGACATTTCATTTCAGCTGAGCAGTGCAGCCCAATAAGTAAAGGTTACATAAAAAGCCAGACAAGCGGCCCTGTGTTCTTAAACAGGCAGGATGGTGGAGCACAGAACGACCAAACTCATTTCTGTTTTTTCTTGTTACTGAGCACTAGAAAAAAAACAGGAGAATGGGCGGTAAAGGAGATAAATGAATACATACTAACAGTTCAGCTTCTTGAGTCCATAGAGGCCAGGACTGCAGAGCCTTCATTCCACCACGCTCGGCCCTCACTCAAACTTAGGAGTTGAGCCAAGTCCAAGAACTGGTACTTTGTCTACATATGTCATCTCAGTAAAACCTTTTTTTTTTTTAAATATACATTTTTCTAGAGATGGATGTTGCATTTTTTCCACACCTCTCTGCTGCAACATGAGTCACTTAAAATTGAATCTATGGGACAATCCAGAACAGTGGATGTGCTAGAACAACGGCAAACCCAGACATCGGTTCCATCCTGACTCAAAGAGCTGGACCAGGGATCGTCAAAATGGTCTGAGCTGTAGGTTCAGTTAAATATCATTCTGTGTTTTCTACATGTATCAACAGAAGGGCACCAGTTGCAAGTGGAATAATTAACAAATCATGGAGGACGCCAATAAGGCCCATTTCCTGAACTCACCAGGAAAGTGTTTACTGAAGCTGAGGGTCAATTTCTTACATCTATAGCATGAGAAGTTCTATTTATAGCCACAGTTTAGCTTTACTTTTTGGAATCTCTCCATCTTTATGTCTTCTACATAAAGTCAGAAGACATAATGATGTGACTTTATTCTTGTAGCCGACTGCTGAATCCTCTTCAATCAGTCCTTTCGCTCACTGATACAGCATCAAAGTGACACAAAACTTTTAATGGCCTCCTGGGAAAACAACTATAACACACTGAGGGGGAAGACAGACAACATTTTTTTAATTTAACATGGTCCCCCTTTGCTCTTCACCAGTGAGAAGAAGAGATGTGATCTGTTCTATCTGGCCTATTAGCTCAGCTCTAGTGTTAAATAAAAAGGTGAACACTCCTTGGATTTATAATGCAGTACATCCTGTCATGCACCGTGTATGGGATTTACTCACTGTGTCAGCATACATGCTTCAATTCAGAGAGAAACTAAATAGTCCAGCAAAGGAAGGGAAGCAACCAGAAAGAGCCAACAGAGTCTAACAACTGTGATAAATTTAGTTTTCACATTAAAAAATTGCAAACAATGAAAACATTTTGCATTAAAAACTCCAGAGTCTTTTTTATAATTTTTTGCTCTTCCTACCTTCATTACGATGAAGAGGACCAGCGTGACAAAGACGTTGACTTGCGGGTGCCTCCAGGCTTGTGCATTTCCAATGTAGTCGAACTCCTCGGCGATGCCCTGTTTGGCCCAGGTTCGGTTGTCCAGTAGTGTCACCAAAGCCTCTTTCTGAGTCAGCTGCAAACCAATCAACATGCTTCATTCAGATTAAAATTCATTTAAAAACTTAAAAGGGGGAAAAAAAGAAAAACAGGCCAAGTTGGAGGATGGTCACAGACACTCACAGATACAATGCACATAAACAATCACTAGGTCAGTAAAAAACCCATGATTTCTCTGAGTTGCACTATCACTTTTTTTTTGTTCTTTGCATTTTGCATAAATCTAAATAAATTGAATAATTCATTATCTAAAAAAGACAGTGTGGAACAACAAAAGTGATAATGAAAGAAAACTTTGGTCACATGCGCCTAGAATTTTGTGCTAAAATCAAAATCATTACCCATTTCTCATCTTAATACCTCTTTTTAAGTGGTATTAAAAAGAAACAGCTGGAGGAAAGTTGTGCAATTAATGAGGTTACTTGGCAACATGTCAGGTAAAAAAAAAGGTCAGCAACATGACTGGGTATAAAAAGAGCATCTCAGACAGGCAGCGTTTCTCTGAAGTGAAGATGGGCAGAGGTTCAGCAGTCAGCAAAAGGATGCTGATGCATCCTTGGGTGAGATAGTGAAGTGTGAAGGTGCTTAGCTATAGATAATAGCACCTTATGCATATGTGGGTCTCTGGGCGAATAAGACTTGCACTTAAAAGTGAAAAAGTCCATTTATAGTTTCATAAAGTATTGATCAGTGGTACATAAAATCAAAAGATTTAGAGAATCTGGAGAACTCTCCATTTTGCAAAGTATTCCAACTTTTTCAGTATTGCAGGCATTGAGTATAAGAGCACAAAGTGAGCTGCAGCTTTTTAAAACTGACGGTGCACACTGGTGGGGATAACGCTGCCCACATCCACAAAGCTCACCAATGAAGAGGTTGTGAGTAAGACTAAGATACACAATTTTGAGTGTGCACTCCAAAGAGGAGTGGGCCAGTGTGGGCAGATTTAGAGCCATACAGGCCTGACTCACGGTCTCATTAGCGGCCAAGACCAAGCGACAGCGCATGTGTGTGTACTGTCGGTGTGTGTGCAACATCCTCTGATGCAGAGGCTATTCCCTTTCTAATACTGATAATTAAGACAGATGAAGTGAGTGATATTGGAGAGAAGCCACAAGCACACACTTGCGAGTCATCGCAGGAGCAAAAAGACAGTATGCTCATCCAATCCTCCAGGGTACACAGGTGACACACAAACACATCTGAACCTGCGCTGCACACATTAAAAAACAACTACACCCTGACATGAATGGTAATAAAGTTGTTATTTATTGATCTAAGTTGGCTCACAAACACAGTGAGACATGAAAATCATGGTTAGATGGATACATCTGAATGCACTCAGGGCCTGCACAGTGACACTTACTGCACATAAATTACAACACAAAAAATGCAGTGGACACATAACATAAATTTTAAATATAATACAATATCATACCATAATGGTCCATAATGCCCCAGGCTTTCTTTTACATCCACTGTAATAGTTGCAGGGTGTTGAGTATATGTAATAAAAATAATATATGTTGAATGAAATTGGGGAACGTACTTTTCCAGCCATAAACTGTCCAAAGCCAGGAGGAAATGTGAGGGTAGAAAGGACTAAAGTGACCAGTGCTGGATACAGCAGACGTCTAAAAGTGGAAGAAAGACAAGGAGAGAAACAGTAAAAGAGATTTAAAAAAGCAGGCACAATCGATGTGTGACACTTAAATTGGTGATAAAACTGTTTTCTTTGATTATATAAAGTCTGCACATTTGTGAGTACATGACGACGTTCCTGTTAGCACCGCTTCAGACAACTCACTTAACGCTATTTATCCCAATATTTGTACAAATGTCCAACAATGTTTAACCTTTCGTTTTACAGGATCCTGTCGGGGGAGCAGATTTTATTGCGGCTACTGAGCAGGTCTGTGCTCAGCTTTCAGTGTCATGTGAAAGAGAAAATCTTCTAGGTCTTTTGTAGGATTTTGTTACCCCTTTTAATCCAATCGTGTATCATCTTCGATACATGAGTTTTTGAGACTTTTATATAGTGAGATTTTTTTAACCTGATTTTTGTTTCTAAGAAAAATAGGAGCCACATATGAGGACATTCGTTTAATATTTTGTTAGAACAGTAGCAGTATAATGTCCTCGTAAGTGGATATCAGGCCCTTGTAGTGGAAAATTGAGTATTTTGGTCTAAATAACCCAAAATGTGATGTCCACAAATGTGGACACCAGGTCCTAGGAGGTTAATGGCACAATTTATTAAAATTTAAAATTGTAAAAATTTGGTTCAAATTAAAACGAATATGTGCAAATTAATATTTAATTTCTTTTAAAAAGATTTAAGGTTCAATAAATGCTCCATTTTCTAAAAAAAATGAATTTTCTGGCAATGATTTCATGGTTGAGATATTACAGGGTTAAAAAAGAAAAAATCAAGTTACAAATCAAATAAGCTGCTCTCATTTGTACATAATGTTCCTTGACACTGATCAAGAACAGGTCACGTACATCATAATGCTCCCAAATAAAGAAAAAAAAAAAAAAGAGCATTTCTGCTATTTTGTCTGACATCTGATGCTACATAAACTTATTTTAATATTACAAACCCTAAAAATTCCTGATCTGAATTTGGCTTTTACAAGTAAAAGGACTGATTCTTATATAGCGCTTTCGACTCTCCAGGAGTACTCAAAGTGCTCTGTACAAGATGCCACATTCACCGTCTTCTACGCTGTTAAGTGCTTTCTAGCTACCATTCACACTCCGCTGGATGCAATGTTACACGATGTGCTTATTTTATTTTTTTTATTTTATTAATTCAGTAGTGGACAGGTACTATTAACAAAAAATCTAATTATAATCAGTACCTAATACCCATTTATAAACTTCTGACTGTTTTTTTTTAGGGTGAGATAATCACATAGCAGCAATTCAACACATTTCAGTATGTAGGCATGCTCAAGACGACCTGCTGAAGTTTAAACTGAGCACCAGAATGGGGAAGAAAGGTGATTTAAGTGACTTTGAATGGCATGGATGTTGGTGCCAAATGACCTGAGCAACTCATTTAAAGTAGTGAGATTTGCCCACTAAATGATCTCTAGAGTTTATATTATCCACCAAGCAGCAGTTCTCTCTGTGAATCTGGTTTGTTGATGAACTCTGAGTTCATAGGAAGTCACCTGTCAACTGTTTACAACCAAGGTTTGCAGAGAAACAAGGATGTACAACATGCTGGATTTTAAAGCAGATGGCCTAGCGCGAGCAGAAGACCACACCAGGTAGCATTCTGGTCAGCTAAGAACAGGAAACCGAGGCTACAGTTCACACAGGCTCTCCAAAATTGAACTACAGAAGAATGGAAAAACACTGCCTTGGTATGATGACTCTCGATTTCTGCTAAGCAGCTTTAGTAAGTTTGTGGTGGAACGGGAGATTGTTATTGTCGTTTTGAGCACATTCATTTATTCTCATTCCCAGAGGGTCATGAAATTGCAACTTTCATTAAAGTTGCAATTTCAAATAAACCACCCACACATTACTACAAAGCAATTACAGTATTAACCAATTATCAAACACTATTTCTGCATTACTTTGGCCAATTCTAAAAACTATTAACTAAAATTTAATCAACTTACATTTTCCCCATTTTCAAATGATGGTTATTGTACAATGTTATCCTGACAGTTGACACAAGTTTAAAGTAACAATGCACCATGCTTTCTGCTTTACATAGAAAAAAAAAACGATCAGATGTTACTATATCACTTGAGAAAATGCAGTGAATATTCTTTCTGGTATGTACTTTGTATGCACCCATTGCTTTATTAAGGTGATTATACTTACTTTTTCATTAGAAATTTGTTGATGACCTTCTGTTTCCTCATGAACTGGACAATGAGTCGGTTCAGGTAGACAAACAAAGCCCCACCGAAACCACTGGCAATACTGCAGACAGAGAAAACGAGTAGGACTATTTTTTTCCCTTTCCCCACCCGGTATAATGCATCAAATCAAAACAGAATGGAATAAATTTGTTTAAGTGTAAACAAAGTAAAACATCAACGCATCGAGTGCAACATTTTTCTCACTTGATCCACCTCCATAGGGTGTCCCCAGTGCATTTGGCAACAATAAAAACAATGAAAATGTAATGAGTTTCTAATCGACTGGAGATGGTTGCTGGTAATAAGTGCAAATGTAATTCTGTAAAGTTGTGGGGAACAGGAAAACAAAGAAATATGGGAATGGAGGAAAAAAGAGAAAGTACACAAAACATGTGGGAGGCATATACTGTAGACGGAGAGAAATAAAGACGAGCATGGAAAAAAATGAACAGGGAGTCAGAGGCATGAGACAGTAGGAATAAAAGAGCGAGAACACTGTCAGATGGGGATTTGTGGGGGAGTCTCAGACAAAGCGGAAAAAGAGGTTTATATAAGCGCGCATTTAGAAGCTTGGTGGGAGTCCTCTTTATGGGAGTGAGAGCCAAAGAAAGCAGAGAAAAGGTGGCGAGAAAGAATAGACTCAGACAGCTACGCAGACAACCTAATGCTTATAAATTTATCCTCTTGCATTATTAATTCCATCAAATACCTTTGAATAAGTAATGAACAGGATGATGAGGGAGTCTTTGCCTCTTTGGCACAGCTGAGGAAAACGCAGCACATCTACCTTTTCATGCGCTTTGTATGGTACACGTAAAAAACAAACAAACAAACAAACTGTGTCCTCTGTGTGTGTGTTTGGGTGGGGGTTAAGTGTTGGAATCTGGGCTTGTGCTCATGATTAAAACAAGGGTGAGTGTACCGTTTGAGGACAAGAAGGTGTTAAAGCTATGATCAGGCGATGGTGTACAGACGTATGTATGACTCAATAAATTAACGTAGCATTAAGTGAATTAAAAATAATAATAAAAAAAAAAATACAGGGCCTTCATTTATGAAAGGTTTTTCTGTATTTATATACATTTGCAGAGATTCATTCAGACCCATTCATTCAATGCATTTTCATTCTACATTCCTTCCATATTCAATTCTTTTACTTAATTTTTCAGTTATTATTGTAGACAACTTTACTTCATCATGCAAATGAGTCAGCTGTCACACAGGGGAAACGCTGCGCTCATTGGTTGACTGATCCTTACAAGTAAAATAAGTTAAGATACAATATACAGGGTGGGCCATTTATATGGATACACCGTAATAACATGGGAATGGTTGGTGATATTAAAGTCCTCTTTGTGGCACATTAGTATATGTGAGGGGGCAAACTCCTCAAGATGGGTGGTGACCATGGTGGCCATTTAGAAGTCGGCCATCTTGGATACAACTTTTGTTTTTTCAATAGGAAGAGAGCCATGTGACACATCAAACTTATTGGTAACGTCACAAGAAAAACAATGGTGTGCTTGGTTTCAACGTAACTTTATTCTTTCATGAGTTATTCACAAGTTTCTCTTTGTTCACAGCCATTGACTTGTCGAAGAGGTTAACACGTGAGGAGCGGATCGAAATTGTGTTGATATCTGGTGAACGCAGTAACCGGGTCATTGCAGCAGATTTCAATGCAAGACACCCTACGAGACCACCCATCTCCCATGCTACAGTTAGCAAACTGCTTGCTAAGTTTCGTGAAACTGGTTCAGTGTTGGATTTGCCAAAATGTGGACGCAAGAAAACTGTCACTAATGAAGAAACATCAGTGGCTGTCCTAGCTTCATTCAGCAAGAGCCCACAGCGTAGCACTCGCCGCATGTCACTGGAGAGTGGCATTAGTGGAACATCCCTTCGGCAGATATTAGCTACTCACAAATGGCACCCTTACAAACTCCAGCTACTGCAGCATCTCAACGAGGATGACCCAGATCGGCGCACAGAATTTGCAAAATGGGTAAAACAAAAATTGGAACAGGACCCTCAGTTCACGCAGAAGAGTTTGTTCAGTGATGAGGCAAACTTTTATGTGAATGGTGAAGTTAACAAACAAAACCACCAGTATTGGTCTGACACTAACCCACATTGGATGGATCGCTCCAAGACTGTTGGAACAACAAAAGTGATGGTTTGGTGTGGTACATGGGGGTTAAGGGGGTAAAGCTGGCACGTTCCCTGAGTTTTTCCAGCAAGATGGTGCACCACCACATTATGGGTGCCAGGTCCGAGCATTCCTAGATGAACAGTTTCCTGAAAAGTGGATTGGTCATCGTGGGCCAGTTGAATGGCCCCCAAGCTCTCCCGATCTGACCCCCTTAGACTTTTATCTTTGGGGTCATCTGAAGGAAATTGTCTATGGTGTGAAGATACGAGATGTGCAGCACCTGAAACTACGGATACTGGATGCTTGTGCTGGCATTTCTCCTGCGGTGTTGCTATCAGTGTGTGAAGAGTGGGAGAAGAGGGTTGCATTGACAATCCAACACAATGGGCAGCACATTGAACACATTTTATAAGTGGTCAGAAACTTGTAAATAACTCATGAAAGAAGAAAGTTACGTTGAAACCAAGCACACCATTGTTTTTCTTGTGACATTACCAATAAGTTTGATGTGTCACATGGCCCTCTTCCTATTGAAAAAGTTGTATCCAAGATGGCCGACTTTTAAATGGCCACCATGGTCACCACCCATCTTGAGGAGTTTGCCCCCTCACATATACTAATGTGCCACAAACAGGACTTTAATATCACCAACCATTCCCATGTTATTACGGTGTATCCATATAAATGGCCCACCCTGTACTTTAAAATGAAGGCCCACATTCAAGTAATGTTAGAGAAGGTGAAAATAATGGAGCCTGTCAGTATTACTTAGTTTCATAATAATGGTTAATGATTTCTACTGATATGCATCTCTGATTTTCTTTTAATTTTTTTCTGTTAATTTCAACTGTATTTTTATTTATTGAGTTATTCACTTCTCCTAATTTTGGATTTTTTAGTCTGCAACACCAGAAAAGATGCTTTATAAATAATTTGCCTAATTGGCTGTTTGTCAACAAATCCATTAATTGTTTCTGTGGTTAGGCTTTTGTGCCGATTACAAGAAAATTTCTGAAATGTAAATAACATATCACTCATTTTTTAAAATATGATCTCACATTTTCATTGTACATTTTTGGGAAAATGAATCCATTTTTCGACAATTTTTTTATTTTCTGATTTTCTGTTGCTCATTGGAGGAAGTCGTCAGCAGAATAGTTTATAATAAAAGTAATCACCCTCCTGTCGGCCTACAAAAAGTCCAGGTACACACATTATGGACACATATACATGTGCAGCCTTCACATGTTGAGGTGACCCTCTCCCTCCTAAAACAGTAAACTGTAAACAGTAAGTAGAGTAGTGTGTGACTCTTCAAAGACATGCCCTTGGCAGCATGTAGCACACACCAAACTCTTCCTGGCCTAGTTGACTGAGACACTGACCGACTTTCCCTGCTTGACAGCTACTGGCAGGGGAAGATGGAAACTACAACGATGCACCGGCACACACACACACACACACACACACACACACACACACACACACACAAATCTGCCAGTGTGCACATACAGACTCACACAGTGTAAAACTAGAACTAAGCACTCTGCTGCCTTCTCTGGAGACAGTGTACTGTATGTGCAAGCCACTGATGCAGTGGTGGGTGTTAAAGCCTCCGGACAAAAAAAAAAAAAAACCCAACTAAATATGAAAGAAAAAAAAACCCCCAAAGGATGAAGAACAAGATGACGACCCCCGCCCCCCCCAAAAAAAAGAAAGAAAGAGAGGGATTGTCTTCTCAAGATAAGTTACACAAGTTACACACAGGCACACGCTTTCATCTGAAAAAGAAGGACAGAGTATGGAGCAAGAGCACCCCCTCCAAACTCTCAACCAGCTTCCTTCTAGGAGCCCGTGGTCTCTTTCACAGGCACAGAAGAGCCCTCAGGCTAGGACAGGATAAAATAAGACGTCCCTCAGTGCGCTGGCAACTGTTGCAAGCTGAATAATCCATGTTAGGTGACTCACGCAGTCCACCCCGAGGTAACACCTTCACAAGCTACAGTAAGTGGATCTCCTGAATAATGTCTGAATTTATGAGGCAATCATAATAAATGGGAATACCTGTCAGCGCAACCAGGTGGACAAAACTGACTCAGAGTGGATGAATTTATTTGAAATTTTTTGTGAAACAAGCTAGTTTCCATTTTCTTACTAATATTGGTTGACAATCAGCTTTTTATTCATTTAGGCTTGGTCTTATTTACAGTACGGACCTGCTGGGTAATGTCTAATTGATGAGTTGTTGTTTTTTTTAAACTCTCTGTCTCTCTTCCACAGCATGTCTTTATCCTGTCTTCTTTCTCTCACCCAACCGGTCACATCAGATGGCCCCGCTCCTCCCTGAGCCTGGTTCTGCCGGAGGTTTCTTCCTGTTAAAAGGGAGTTTTTTCTTCCCACTGTCGCCAAAGTGCTTGCTCATAGGGGGTCATATGATTGTTGGGTTTTTCTCTGTATCTATTATTGTACAATCTACTGTGCAATATAAAGCGCCTTTAGGCAACTGCTGTTGTGATTTGGTGCTATATAAATAAAATTGAATTGAATTGAAACCAACTTCAGCATCTTAACCAACTTACCCAATGACAGCGAAGGCAGGAAGCTCCTGGAGGTCAAAGGGAAAGTCTAATCGGAAGCGGGTTTTAAACAGAGCTGTGATGGTCTCTGGAGAAAGAGAGAGAGGACAAGCCACTGTATCACTGAACAGACCTCAAAGTCATTAAGCGAGGTTAAAAACAGGTCTTCTAAACACATATAGGGCAATAAATAAAATATATTAAAGCTACTGATGCACCACTGACTGATCTGACTGATGGAAGGAGTAAAAAGGAAAACTTCAGCTTACTGTGGAGGTGATGACCAAAAAATGGTAAATGGCCTGTATTTGTATAGCGCCTTACTAGTCCTAAAGGACCCCAAAGCGCTTTACACATCCAGTCACACCCATTCACACACACATTCACATACTGGTGATGGCAAGCTACATTGTAGCCACAGCCACCCTGGGGTGCACTGACAGAGGCGAGGCTGCCAGACACTGGCGCCACCGGGCCCTCTGACCACCACCAGTAGGCAACGGGTGGTGTCTTGCCCAAGGACACAACGACCGAGACTGTCCAAGCCAGGGCTCGAACCGGCAACCTTTCGATTACAAGGCCAAATCCCAACTCTTGAACCACGATCGCCCCAAAACTCCAAACCTCACAAAACCTGACCACATTAAACAACTGGTGGGAGAAAAGGCTGTGAAAAACTAAACCACTAACAGGATCCTGGAAATCCCAAAGAAGTTTGGACGCCTGCCACTGAGAACTTCTCAGTTTACTGTTTTGGTAGGATGAAAATTCTATTTTTAGCACCTCCAGTGTTGCAGCAAGTCTTTGTCCTTTACTCAGTATATTATTTAGACTTGCACACATGTAACTAGTAAAATAATGACAGAGCTTCATTTATACACAGATTAAAAACCCCATTGCCCCCAGGCTCAAGAGGTATGTAACACTCCAAGAGCCAAACCTGCAAATATCAACATCCACAGAAACTTTAGTATCTCAGCTAAATCCTCATATAAACCATTTCTACAACCACCAAACGCAGCGAAAACAAGCAATGATTAAAAGAACAGTTACTTAAATGCGCAAAAGTCCGCTAAACACACACAACCGAGCCAAGAAATCTCCAGACTTCAGGTAGCCATGAAAACAATGGCTAGTTTGCTTGCAGGGCTCTCTCACGCATTCCAAAACACCAAGTTTCACCATGCTCCAACCAAAATTCACTAGACAAGCTGCAAAAGAAGACCACAAAAATGTCACTGTGATTCTATTGGCTCAACCGATTAAAAAGAGGTGTCAATCATGCAAATTGGCCAATAGAGGCCTAGGCTACAGCCCCTCAGAGTTTAAATCGCAAGAGGCCATTTAAACTCACCAGGGTGCAAGACAGAAAGGGCTCGCTGACTGGGAATGTGTGATTAATTCTTCAAAAATATTCAAAAGACAAGCATTTCTAAGCATGGTAATGAAGTTAAATCATTTCTGCTGTTTAAAAAAACAGCAGAAATTCTACTCGTATATGGTGTCCAAGGTGCGCCAAAACTGGACATCCTGTATAACACCTGGACATTTATTTATTAAAAGTCCTGCAATTTTTCACAGTTTCACTTTGGAAGCATAAATCTTTGTTTATAAATTGATTTCTGCTTTTCTGGATTACAGTGTCAATTAAAGCATATTTTAAAAAGGGTTATATGCTAGAAATTATTTGCTATTATATTGTATGTTATATGCTAAAAAATTATATCACAAAAGACTGCATGAAATTGAAAAATTTGGACCATTCAATCCCAAATTCATAGCAGACTGACTCCATCTTATTGCTGCTTTTTCACTGTCTTAATTCACAAAAGTTGCTGTGAAGACATGACGTGATGGCTCAGCGCTTGCAGACCTGGTCCCCGTCTCCAAACCACTAAAACATTGGACCTTAAAGTGGACTCACTCTGATCATTTCCAGCCTTATATTTGAATTCTAACTGCATGACTCACAGCTCGTTCCTTATCGATCTTAAACTGAGCCTTGGTGAAGCCCCTCAGTTTATCCACTGTTTGAACCAACTTTAAGGCCACTCTTGCTTTGATACGACTTTTATCTGATTTTTTTGCCCCTCAAAAACAAAAGACACTGAACATGCCACTAGCTACTACAAAAATGGATTTGATTGTGCTGGACTAAGTGTTCCTAATAAAGTGCTTATACTGTCTTATACTAAGTACAATGAACACATCAGTCTTACCTTCATCTCTGTTCCAAACAGCTAATACCCTGAAGATGAAGGCACTGAAAGTGGCAGCAAAGAAGCCCCTCCAATAGTTCCTCACAGCAAAGAATGTGGAAGTTACTTCAATACTGAACAGCACACCTTAAACACACAAACACCACAAGGCATGAGCACTGACATTTAAAAAATGCACAAACAAGTGAAATGGACTTCTCTTGACATGCAGTTCTTCATGTAACACTCAAGTAACAACAACATTTCCTTTCATTACACACAGATGAATTTGTTCGCCAGCGTCTGTATTCAGACATGATCTCCATTTTTGGAAATGTCATTTACCTCAGTTAGCTCAGGCTTAGCAAGATGAATTCATGGTGGGGTGGAAGCACAGGCTGAAGAAAAACCAGCTAGAAGCTAAATAAATTATGTCACTGATACAAAGGCGTGTAGTGTGCTCCAAGGCTGTACCAGGGCTCTAAATTTAACATGAGATGATACGAGGGTGTACAGAAAGAGAATACCTCCGCAAAAGAACATCTCCCATGAAACAGCACTGATTGCTCCATCCATTTCAGCAACATGCAGCCCATTATATGTTAAGTGGGTTACACATTGTAAAAGTTATACAGTGCTTACACATTTAGCTCATTACAGAGTGCCACAGGCTTCAGGTACTACATCACGTTTGCTTTAGACTCACCTCCTATGGGGGCAGCGAAACAGCAACCAACTCCCACGGCACAGGCTGCTGCCAGCATCTCTATGTTCCTCGACTCATTCTGAAACCACACAGTGGTTAGATTTCAGTCACCAGCAGTCATTCAACAGCAACCACAACAACAACAACAAAAGCGAAAAGGAAAGAAGTGAGTCAATTCATTACATTTTTTCTATGACACACTTTTAATAAGACACCTAAGCAAAAAAAAAAGCATCCACATTTTTGTCATGTCACAGCATTATTCCAAAATGGTTTCACCTACACCCTCCATATACATGCTCCATAATGATGAAGTGAAAAAGGTTTGCTTAAATTAATTTTTTTATCAACTAAAAAAAAAACAAAAAAAACCCCTCCTCCTCCTACTCATAACAACAACAACAACAACAATAATAATAATCAACAATTAACAAGCAAAGTAAAATATTCCTAAATCAAAGCAAAATTGAATTTCAAATGAGTACAAAACAAATTGGATGTCTTAAAAACAAAAAAAGTCAAAAAATATTTTAAAACAATACCATGGATATATGAAAATCATTTTTTATATTTTAAATTAAACAGTAATAATATTAATGAAGGATCATATAATGAGCTGTGTCGTAAGACAGAAAGACAGTGGGAAAGGGACAATCATGCTGCATGAGCGCGGGATGGACTGTGGTGCATTATGGGAATGGAGGTTTTTTTCCTTTCTTTTTGATACTTCTGGTCTTATTTACCTTCATTCCTATGAGACCGATGTCCTTCAAGCAGCATGGCAGTGGTAAAGGAAAGTTACTGCGTGTTTTACTTTCACAACAGAATATTTTATGTGGAAAAGTTGGTGTGGACGAGAAGGTGCGTGTAAGGCTTAATATTTAGTAAAACAAAGGAAACTTCAGAGAATTTTCCTCTGTGAATGACAAGTAGGGATGCATGGATTATGAATTGTGAATTATTCTGAGCAGATTCCAGGATTGCACATGCAACTTTCTCTGATGCAGATTTTTGTTGTCTTTATTTTGTTTGTCTCATTTCTCCTGTTATCCCACCAAAACATACACAAAAAAAAACCCACTGAAAAAAAACGTTTTTCAGTCTATCAAACATTTTTTGAACATTTAGAAGAAACCATGCATGCATGAGGCTTAGTTACTCCAAGTTCAGAAAGTTACTGCTTATCTCCGTTGTCACAGATTTTATTTTAAACTGATAAAATTCAGTTTACCTGTAGATTCAAACAAATTCAATCTACTTTCAAAGACATAAAAAGGATAAAGTAGAAATTAGTTTTTTAGATGTTTTGGCTTCATTCATCCTTCCTGCAACTCAAAGGCATGATGCCAATACCGCCATGCTTCACTATAACAGCTGCGGTGATGCGCTACACATTATGCCTGGACTTCTCCCCAAACAGTTCCACTATTGTCTCGTCAGAACAGATGATCTCCTCCCTAATGGACTCGCTTAAAGTACTCTGAGTGAACTATCCTTTGCCCTACTGTATACTGAGAGAGGTCTATGGAGCAGCTCTACCATGACTGATGATACAAGATGGTCCTCTGTTTTGCAAGTTCTCCATCTTTTGGAGGACTTCTAAAAATCTGCTGGAGTTACCTTTGTGTTCTTGGACACTTCCCAATCCACAGTGTTCTGTTTGGCCATTACAGACCAAGTGGCCTCCAATCGACTTCTAGACAAATCTGAAGTAAAACTAAAGTTCCACTAAAGTACTTAAAGAAGAACAGACTTGCTGTTTTTATTTCTAATAAATCATAAATAATAAATGCAGATAAAGTAAATTCTCAGTTCATTTTCACTAGACTCAAATATTGTTGGGTATGAATAGTACACACAGTGGCTTTGATAAAGCTTTACAAATGCTAATAAAAGAGAGTGTGTTTTTGCTCTTCTCTTTCTCCTTTATTTTAGTCTTTAACTGTATTTGAACAGTGGGTTATGCATGTATGTATGGGCTTACATAAGAAATAAAAAAAAAAAAAATCTTTTAATGGAGCCTGACTAATAATTTTAAGGTGAAACAAATGGGGAAAAAACTTTATTTCTAGGCTTAAAACTAGTGCTGTCAGCGCTAATCTTGTTAAAACAGCACGCCGTCAACGCGTTAGCGCATTATCGCATTAATGCGTTAGCGTTCAGCCCCATGCACGGGGCGATCTGCGCTAACTCGTTAATGGAGATTTGCGGCGTTAATGCGGTTATGGTATTAGCGTCATTTTAACGAGATCAATGCTGACAGCACTACTTACAGCATGTTTTGTAGACTGGATAGTGGAATAAGTAACAAATGGAGCTCAGTAAATCAGTTTGACTGTAGCTGTAGGGATGAAGGAATGTTCATGCTGGGAATTTTGCAGCTGAATTACCTTAATCCCTGTAACACCGGGCTCCTACAGGAAGCATGGGAGTAAGAGACACAAGTTAAGCTAGCAAAGAACAAATGCAAGAGTCTTTTTCATTACTGCCTAAACTCGCTGTGTGATGCTACAAGACTCAAGAAACTGAGTCCCCGGTGTTTTAACATTAAACTCAACATTTCCTCCGCTGACATTTACAGCTCAAGTAAAACGCATTTTATCTTATAATATCTAAACAAATGCCAGCTGTATTCAAACAAGAGTACTCAATGTGTATGGGAAAAATATGAAGTGCAAAAAAGAAAAAAGAAAAAGCTGTTTTTTTGTTTTTTTTTAAAGTATGGCACTCTGAAACAGAAAGGTAATTTTTACAGCCTGCAGGTTGCATTAGCATACTGTACTTCAACCACTAGAGAGGACCAGATACTGCTGCAAAGGGACTCTTCACACATCCACACAGGCAAATACACACTCAGCATTAATATGCCATAAAATGCGTGACAACACTCTGGAGGGATGGAGAGCAGGATGGAATAACAGAGGGTTACAGGTAGACTATTTAATGAGGCCCATGATAGGGTTTTCAGAAGAGACTAATATAAAGGAAGAGAGGCAGATGGAAAATTTAACAGAAAAATAAATAGCGGTACGAGAGGGAAAATAATGGCGTGGAGGGGCAGAATGCATTGAATGACGGTTGTAAACTAATTACTGCTGCTACATTTAAATTGGCTGGATGTAAAAGTCAGAACAGACCGGAACTGTTTGTTTTCACGTATACGGACATACGCAAAAGCAAAGAGCATTTTTACTACTTTTCATCTTCACCTGAAGTGAAATCAGATAATGAAATGCGAATTTAAATGGACTCTAGTACATTTTTTATTCACAACAGTTAGCATTAAAACTATCTTTTGGCTGCACGGTGTGTTATATATTCTCAGAAAGACATTTCAAAAGGTCAAATCTATGCACCAACTGCACGACTCTTCCTTCTAGGATAGCGTTGCACGAGTCACACTTAAATTGATTCTTATTTGTCATCTTGTACTAGGCCTTGAAAAAGAAAAAAAGAAGCAGCTATTTTTGCAGCATCTCCCATTATCCAGCTTTCCTCTAAATGGCTACCCTTTGTAAATACAAGGTTTGAATCCAGGTGTGCTCACAGACTTGGCTGTATGTATGAGGAGGACATATAGGGAACACCAAGGAAAGAGCTTTATATTTTTAGCTAAGAGATATAATATAATTGTTCAGGCAGTTGTGGGGTATTATGTCTAAATGTGCAAATCCGCCTTAAGTATTCATGCCCCTGGTGTATTTATTTATATTCAAAATATGTGGCCTTATTTTAGAAAGCATTCTGTCCACTTTATTTAGAGAGTTTTATCGTTTTTGGACAAAAACTTATTTTGGAAGAAGTTAGCCGGCCTGCATGACAACTTTTTCTAACAAAGTCAAAGTCAAGTTTATTTCTACAGCACAACAAAAGCTGTTGACCAAGGTGCTGTGCACCTAAAATCATCAAATGACATAAAAGCATAGGGCAAGAATTTAACAAAAGAAACAAAACGAGAAAACCTGAGTAAGAAATAAAAAATAAAAGTAACAGAACTCATTCCGATTTAAAAGCTAGAGAATGAAAGTGGGTTTTTGATGTTGGGGAGGTCCTGATGTGAAGGGGCAGTTTGTTCCACAGCACAGCCACAGCAAAGGCCTGATTCCTTTTTTGCTTTAATCTGGACCTCGGGAAAGCTAGAAGGATTTGGTCAGCAGTTCTCAATAATCTTGAAAAAGTGTACAATCTACCAGAATGAACTACAACACGGGGCAAAGCAATCACAGGAACTTTGACGTGTATATAGTGTGAAGAGAGACTTTGGGTGGCATCATTATAGAGCAATAAAGTCCATGTAGCGAGTAGGTCCAGGTGGCTGGATGGGTCAGCAAAACATTATCTGATATTTGTATTGGCAATACAGTGTTTACCTTTAGCTTAATGGTGTATTGTTGATGCGGAGTAGGGATATAGTGGCTACAGCGTAGACCCTTTTCCCAGTACACCAGCTTTGTTTTGTACTTTCTTCAACTTCTCAACTTTTCACCCCCCCAACGGACATGCTCACATCTCACGAGAAAAACAAAAAGTCAAAGGTTTTTCTGATTTCCTTCAGCTCCCAGCTTCCTCTCCCAATGGATACACACTCAGCGTAATTTCCATCTGACTTTTTTTTTTCCCTTCTTCTCCCTATTCTCATTAGCGCTTCCAAAATTTCCATCTCAATCAATGAATACGTTTCTGGGAAGAAACGATGAAAAGATGTATTTGTGTACAAATAAAAGTGATTCAAACCTCAAAAAAACAGGATATAAGTGGTTGTTGACTATACATGAGCTGCAAGAGAGCAATTCCTGAAGACAAAAGAAGAAAAAAAAACCTGAACTTTTTAACTGCCCAAATAACAGAGGGACAAAAAGTTAGAAACTAACTAACAACTAATAGCTCTATGTTGAGCCTATGTGCTCCATAAAAAGTAATTAAAAAGAAAAAAGCTGCAGGCTTCAGCATCCCAAAAATCCACCAACCCTGCTGGAAATAAGTTCCAGCTCTGGTCTTCACCCTCAAATATTCTTTTTGTTCTTCCTTCCCCATTTCTCTTGATCATTACCCTTTCTTTCAGGCCTTCTGCTCTCTTTTTTTGTTACTTCAAACTCAAACAGCTTGAAAAAAAAAAAAAAGAAAAGAAAAGAAATGTCAGCACCCCCTCCTTCCGCTGTGTTCGTAATCTCTTAGCTTTTGTTTAGTTTTATTTCCTGCACTTTTCCCTGACCTGGGGATTTTGCAAGGGCTGGCTCAAGATATTGCAAAGTTGCTTTTGTGAACCGTTCTGAGCAACTGAAACTGCCCTCCATAAATTCCCTGCCTACACTGAAAGACCCATACATACTATGCATTAATTTGCATCTTAGAGTAAATAGACTTAAATCTCACAAATCCATGTGCCAGTAATTACAAATTTAATTGCAGATCCACCAACTCTAGATTGCATAAGTTACATTCATACAGTTGCATTTTGAGTCTATACTCACATATAGTGGGCATTTAGTTCTGGATGAGAAATTCATGTATATACTTTAAACTAACTCGCTATTGTTTGCTTGTCATTCCTAAACTCCAACTAAAATCCCCCTCTAGAACTCAAATTTTCAATTTTCTGATTCCATCTTAATGTCATAGCAGTTGGTACGTCTAACCAGAAATGCATCTATTAGGTCTCCTTCAGAAACACAATAGTAACTTTAAGGGGGTTCATTTATATTTTCATATCTATTTAGCTTTGAGTGCCCACATTAACACAGATGCAGGTGCAAAAATGTTGAATCTTTTAGTTTTTGTAAAAATTTAGGAATACGCTTATTTATGTGCAACACGGCCCCAGAATTTTCAGATAAGTCGGATCAAGGGGGTATCTTGTAAAGTTAGTTTTTTTTTTTTAAAAAAAAAAAAGAAAGAAAGAAAAAAAAAAGATTCTCTCTTGTGTTACTGATCCTCTGCTGCAGCTCAGCAGGGGCACGGTCTGTGCCAACATACAGGGGTACACTAAGACTTTCACTATGTTTGTATAATTCAGCCACATATTTGTTTAAAATTTCAGATTCTTCATATAACAGGCAGCACAGATTTTGTCCCTCATCATTTCCGCTGTAAGCACTGTATAAGGTGGTCTTTCATGTGAACATCACACGTTTTGTTCAAACGTTTGATCAGTTTGATCGGTTTTCATAATCTCGGGAATTAAAAATGTACTAACGCTATGCTAATTAATTCAGGTATGTATGTATTTGGTTAAGTAGCAACCAAGGCTTATTGTCTATTTGGTACAATTCTAGCAAGTACTTGGAAAAGAGAGTTTTTCATCTAGTGTATATCTGGCATTCTGATCAGGCCTATTCTAAAATTTTATTTTGATTTCACTTCTGTTTTTTACCTAGATAGAAAATGTTTAAACTACAGTTCTATCAATGAAATGAAAATACAATTTCAATCTCAAGAATAAGAAACATTTTATACAAATTCCACAATCATATATATTTGTACATTTCACAGGTCAGCTGAGTATAGAATGGATTGTCAGATTAGAATTAAATAGATGTTGGCCTTGGATGCACACCAGCACATAATACCCTCAGAGGGTCTCCAGTATCCCTTTTTCCAACCCTGGCCTCTCTAAGAGGTGCTCCCGTGTATTGACACTGAAAGACCACACAGTAGCAATCTCCAGCATTGCTTCTTTGACCCTGGGCAAAAGTGACAAAAACACAAACTGGGTTGGAAAAGGATATTAACAGCAAATTATACTGCAAAAATTAATTAAGCTGCTCCAATAATTATCACTTTGGCTTTTTTTTTTTTTTTAATTTTCACTCCCCCAACCCCAACCAGTTGCGGCAGATGGCTGTCCTTTCCTGCGCCTGGTTCTGTCGGAGGTTTCTTCCCTTTAGAAGGGAGCTTTTCCTCCCCACAGTTACTAAATGCCTGCTCACAGGGAATAGTCTGATTGTTGGGCAAACTAGTAATTCTTGTGAAAATTAAAAAAAATAGCCTTAAATAAATAACAACCAAAACAACAAATGAATATGGTCTTGAACTTGGATACAGTTTTGCTTAAAAACTGCGTCAAGTTCTTACCAATCACCAGTCACTGAGATTTAAACTTAACAGAGGTTTTCAGTAGATGCAACCATGGTATTAATTTGAAAATTCTACGCAATCACAAACTTGGGTGTCCACAGCGCCCCACCATTCAAACACGTCAATCAAACAAATTGAGGGAAAACTGATTAAATAGTTTGCAACATTCCTGCACATAAATCTGCCTTTGATCTTCTAAAAATAAGCTTTTACTGACCATCAGTCATAGCATTGGTTCAGGCAGGCTCAGCCACAATCATGGCCAGTGAGCTCATTGCCTGTGCCATTTGATACTCTTCTAAACATCCAAATGGCAATTCTTACATTGGGAAAGGCATTAAAACTGATTTAGCCAGCCCACAGGTGCAACCATCCTGCAAGCGGCTTTGTAACCCACCTTCACCCTGTCAGCCACAGCAGAAAATTAAGCATCACTCCTGGTCTCATGTTCTGTGCTGAGACAACAGTTCATCCAATCCAAGAAACAACACCAAATGACAAACGTTGTAGCTGTTTACTATCACCAGGGGGCAGTGACACAGACAACCAGTCTGTGGACTACTGCTTGTGCCACTTTTGATCGTTCATTCAGTCGTGGAAATGAGTGAAGTTAACATAAAAGAACTGAAACGGGATGTGCCCACTAAAAACTTGGTTTTCGTTCCCGAAGGTGGGCCACCAGGCTGTGCTTTTCATGCTGTTGTTGTTTTTTATCTTTGATTTTTTTGTGCTTCTGTTTTCTGTTTATCGTTTAGTTTTCAACCACACAGGGAATCAATGTCGAGCTGTGTGTTGCTGGTTTACGTGGACTAATACACACGCAAATGGCTGCAAGTCCTGCATTAGGAAGGTAAGCGAATGTTTTTGATTGCCAATGCTGAAATCCAGTGCTCCAGCACACAACTAAGTATAGTTTCAGGCTATGGAGCTGATATTTTTAATCCAACGTAAGGACAGTGTTGGAAGATCCTTTCAGACAATTTACTTACTCACATTTCCAGCCACTGATTTGGTTGTACGCCTCATGAAAGTCAAAGAGGAAACCCTCAGCACATCACTAATTCGGGTATGTTGGTGCCAAAGCCCAGACTGTGGCTCTGAACTTTAACAACATTCAACAAAAAACCCTTTCTGATGTCTATCGGAGTCTCAGTGCTGTTCACAAATGGTACTGGAGACTGGAGATGATCGGTGTTTGATGGCATACAGTCTGTTCTTCAAAGAGCATTAAACTGGAGTCTTTGCCAGCAACGATGAGATCATATGATGCGTAAGTATACAATTTTCCCACAATATTTATGAGAATGGTGAACTACCCTCATACCTTTTTTTTTCCATGTGCAACCAACTAATGTAAAAAGTCAATAATAAATATCATATAAAGTGAATATGTAGTGCTTTTTGGCTTGGCTTAACTGCTGAGTACATTCACCAGTAAGGTAGGGTATGCATACAGCCTGAAAGGAGAATCCCAGCTAAAGCTTTAATGGGAATATCAAGATCACATCTGGATTATGGCATCAGGACAGTTCAGACCAACAATGTGAGATTTTAGCTTGAAAATAAAGGTAAAATATTAAAATGATTACAATAAAGTAACAGTGGATGTTTAAGATTATATAAAAGATGACTTTTTTGTGTTATATTAATAAGTGTTAGCCTTACCTCATAGATTCCTCCAAACAGAGACATAAACTTGCTGAGGAGAGCTGCACACAGACTGGCGATGTGCACAAAGGGACCCTGACAGGAGGAATAATGCAGACAGAAATCAGGTTAAAAAAAAATTACAAATTAAGGAGCACTCTGGGCTCCTGTTTATTGTGAGTCAGTCACACAAGACAACACAACTCTTTGAAAACACATCAACAGGGAGAAAGTCAGCGGGAATATTAACATTCAGAGTATGAGGTTCAAAGTGGAACTAACAGGATTAAAAGTGAGAGCAGCAGAAAAGTGATGCTCAATTTAAAAGGCAGCGAGAGGCCTGCTCTGAATCTAAACGCTGGGTATTGCTGCAGTGCTGTGTAACCAGAAGGGCCTGAGGGCTGTTTGTGTGCACAAGTGTTAGGAAACAGTGTTTTCCTGCAAGAATGTCTTCAGGCAAGGCTGTCTTTTGTAGGTGTAGGAAAAATCGTAAGTAAGTAAAATTTTATTTCTATAGCACCTTTCAAGACAAAGATCACAAAGTGCTTCACGAAGAAGTACCAGAGCATTTAAAACAAAACAAACAAAAAGTTAACCAAATGCATTTCCAAAAAGCTGAGTTGACACCTGATCTGTTTTTGCTACAAAAAACCTGAAAAATACTCAGCGATATAAACAACATCTGCATCGTGAAGTAAAGGGATGTAAATATTCCCAGAAAAACAGTCTTCTCTCTCCCAGCTGGATCAGAAAACATCCCTGTACCTTCCTACTTTCTGTTACCTGAACCCAAGGGATGATGCAGGGATGTGAATGAGCAGCCAAAGGTTCATGTGCTGTAGTATGTGAATATACAGAGAGATTTAAGGCAAGTCGTTTCACAACACATCCTACCACTGTTCAGACACCTTACTGTGACCTACGTGGGTTTCTGACAACCAGTAATGATTTGAGTGGAAGCTCGTCTTCTGAAGCGATGCTTAATGTTTATTTTGAATGTTGTAAAAGCCGGCATTCAAAGCTGAAAGGGCCCAGCTGCTAGCGAAGGCTCTGTATCACAACACAAAGGTTTAATGCTGTGAATCACTGAAACTGTGCTAGTAAACATCAAAAGCAGAATGTGGGTCAGCGCTTGGGTTTCGCTGAAAAGTAAAAAGAGAAACTAGATTGTGTCTCATAAAGGTAGCGATAAAGACATGGCTGTCTGTTTCTGTCCTACAAAAAAAACCATACTAACTGTACTTCTGTTCAAAACAAATTTGACATCTTAACCTATCTTACTAGAAACTGTTAGTCTTCACTCTGTGCAAACATACATATAATACATGTATTTGTCCACCAAGCTTTCTTGTCATTTCTTTAAGCGGTCTTCAGGAATAGTTCTCCAGGCTTCTTGAATGACAATCAAAGCTCTTCTTTAAATGCTGGGTGACTTTTATTTCACTCTCTCTGAAGATGATCCCTCACTGCTTCAATAATGTTGAGGTATAAGCTGTGAGGACTCCACCAAATGTCAAAATCCCCAAGATCACTGGCTGCAATGCAGCCCCTAACCATAACAGACCAATTACCACTGACTTTCAGTTAAGTTCTTGCTAAATCTGGCATATGTCAGCCTTTTCTCTCTGTTTCCCTTCTTTAAGAATAGCCTCTTGACTGCCACTCTTCTACTGAGACCACTTCAGATGAGGCTTCAGTGAATGTTAGTTGGATCAATTGAAGGGCCAGATGCATCTCTCAGGTCCTGTGTCAGAGGATTTTTTCCTATGTCTTAAGACATGACTTTCAGATACTGTTTATCAGGTAGTTTTGTTAGGCCTGCCATTTCTTTTGTCCTTCACCAATTTTTTAAGGACACACTGCACACCATGCTTTAGAAATTACCTGGAGCAAAAATTATATTTTATGTCTGACAAACTGTGTTACCTTTGGCATTTTTCATAGATTCAACTAAAGAAACGGGAACAAATTAAATGTTTTTGTGGCAGGCTACTAGTAATAAAGTGCCAACACACACATACAGTTATGTCATGTCTGTTATGTGTAGACAGAACACTAGTTTATCCCTTGGGTTAAGAGCATTTTTTTTTATTGAATGATTCATAAGTCAGCAGCTTAGCAATCAAAAAAAATATTCCTATGAAAATAGTCCATTATCAGGACTGGAAAGAAAATGAGTGAAAAACCAGCGAATTTCCAAAGATAATATTTGAAAGATCGTCAGAAAGCTAGAGAACTATTGCTTATGACCACTTTAAAAATTATAAGAATGTTTAGCTCCTTGGAAGCAAAATATAAAGAAATGAGAGGTAGCTCAAGACTTTTACACAATGCTGTATGACCAGTTCCACAAAACAATAGTAACAACCTACAGAAACTGTAATAGCATGGAATTTCCAACGAGAGCAGGTTTTTCCTCATGCAGAATATTATTAGTACTTCTCTGAACTCTTAAGGTAAGACTTTTAGTCTATAAATTATCAACAGCTAAAGTGATAACTGACCATAGTTAAAGCAATAGTTAACAACTTACTTTTTCCAGTTTATAGAAATAGAAAGCTCAATTTTGCTCTAAACCCTTAAGAATTAATTTGTTATACAACTGAAACAACAAACAAAAGTAAAGCCAATACCAAAATTATATTGGAGAGAAACCTAACACCAGACAGAATAGTCTTGCTAAAAGCTAACTAGCCCAGTTTAGTAAACTACCAGTAACTACAATCTCGGCCAGATTAATGAGATATTGTTTTACCTTTTAGAAGTAAAAATGTATTCCACCTTTTATTTTTTATTCCACCTTATAATTTGCCTAAGTAGGTATAGAAATGTTTTAAAATGGCCTATTTTTTAAATTAAAATGTTAGCTCAGCTAGGAGCCTTTAAAGCAGAGGTCCCCAACCCCCGGGCCTCGGACCGGTACCGGTCCATGAGTCGTTTGGTACCGGGCTGCAAGACTTGAGGCTCAAGTGTGAAATGTATGGTTTTCAGGGTTTTTATCGGTTTTCAGCGTTATTTTGTTATCGTTTTTATCGTTAACTTGGTTTTCCTGGGTCTTCACGTGTGTTATGAATAAATGTTCTTTTCAGTGCCGGTACTGGTTTTATTTTGTTGTATTTATCCGCGACACCTTAAAGGCCGGTCCGTGAAAATATTGTCGGGCATAAACTGGTCCGTGACGCAAAAAAGGTAGGGGACCGCTGCTTTAAAGTACAAAGTCCTTATTCTCAACTTCTCTGTTAGTATTGTTAATGCAGGCAGACACAAAAGCTCAAAAGCATATTCCCATTCAGAAAGCTACTTGTATTCATTTGTATGTACACACCATGCAGTACATGTACATTTAGAGTGAGTGAAGCAGATTTGTTTTACCTCTTTGCCTAGTGGCATGCCACTGCCCAGGGCACAGGTGAGGCCGATGACTTTGGCCACAAAAGTTTTGAAGGTGAGGTATTCTTTTAGGACGACTCCACGCAGGATGGTCTTCATTTCTGGAATACCTGAACCTGTAATAGGACAACAGTGGGCACGTATAGCTGATTGTTTTAAATCGAACATCATTTTTCAAGCTGTTATCATTCACAACTAAATCTCTAAGAAGAAATCCAACTATTTGATAAGAATTTAATAATCATATTAATTAAGATGAACAAGATTTTGATCCAATAAATTCTGATCAGTGCATGACATCACATCTGTGTTTTTTCTACCTCACACAAAAAAAGATCTCACCATGTTCCATCCTATAAGAGGGCACAACTTCTAAAGCTGCAACTTGTATGAATTTGGGTGCCAATTATAGCCTGACCATTATTATCAGACTATTATGTTAGCAACAGTCACTAATGTTCAGTCTATCAAATCACAACATGCTTATACCATTATTTATGTAGTAGGGGTAGTACACTGTGTTTTGAAGGAATGTTTTTTTAGTAAAACTACTGGTGATATTGTGTCGCTATCATTAAATTTCTAGTATTTGTTATCAATCACTATATCATTCTAGTTCAGATTTGACCCACATGTGGACTAAAATAGTTCCATCTCACCTTTTGGTTTTTCACCCTAGTGATAGCCTTCACTTGCATCAACATTTCTTTGTATCTCATATTCAGATTTCCAGTGAACAGCTTCAAAACACAGGTTTAACACCCTGGATCTTTTGTCATGGAATAACAAGTGAACAGGCCTCGCCTGGCAATGAAAGTCTTTGATAGTCACTTGCCCAATTACTTTTGACATTCTAAACAATGGTGTTTATAAAAATGAATGCAATACATTCACTCCCTTGATTTAAATCTTATAGTCTGCACTTCAGCCACATTGACTGTTTGATTTAAAATCCTTGCTGTTGTTTATTTTTGGCCCTGCAAAATTAATTGATTATTTTGTGGATACTCACTCACAAGGTCTAAATTGGTTAAATGCAAGTGGTTAGCAAACCAGTATTATTTTATACGTATCATACCAACAGCCTGTGGAGCAAGGATCTGAGTGAAGCCTGCGGAAAAGGTGATGAGGACAACGGGGTAGGTGACCCAGGCCAGGTACTGCAGGAACACATTACTGTCCAGACCACCGTACATCCACTTCTGTGCTGTGAACACAAACCAGGACAGACGTGTAAAGCCACCATCCACTGAATACAGCATTGCAGACACACTCCACAGGAAACAATGTGTTCATTTCGAATACAGTCAAAGATAAAACTTCACAAGAACAAACTGATGAACACACACAAGCCCACAGTCAATGCACAACCAGGAGAGCGGCTGTATAAATATTTTTAAAGACATGAAAGATGTGTAGCTGTGTGGTTTTTCTCTGCACAGGACAGGTAGTTAGTCATGTTCTGGATCCAATTACGAGAACTGTACAGCATAACTGGAATTGACAAGACTAGGTTAGCATCCTCTTGAGAGCGTCACACACACACACACACACACACACACACACACACACACACAGTTTGAGAAATCCATTTGAATTAGACGCAGTCCTGTGAGGTTTCTGATCAGCTCTCGCAACTTTCTTCAATCGTTTTAAAGTGTCTTCCTTCCCTCTTCCTGGACTGTACTGTTTACTTAGTGATTAATCCCTCACCCTCGTCATCTTTTTTCTCTGTTTCTAAATCTACCTCCATGTTTGATGATAGATGTCATAAGAGGCCTTCCATTCATCCTTGCTGCCATCCTTTGATCAACCTTGAATCCCCAGTTATCCCTCCACCACTCTCTCGGCTTACTTTTTTTTTTTTTTTTTTTTTTTTTACTCACTTCTCTCTTACCCCCAAACTTTTGCCTGCTACACCTCCTTGGTTTTACTCCTCTAAAGACGTTTCACACATCACAAGCTGCACATTATTATCATCTGCATTCGTTTCCAACAGGGCTCAATCCTCAGTAAAATCTTTCTATTTACAAGGTCCTGTAGGGACAGATCAATAAAACCATTCCTAATTAATTACCACATTATGCAGATGTCTGGATAAAGCTCTGGAAAGAGTTTCACTCTGCAAAACTCATCACAAGAAAAAAAGCTTAATGTCTTGTATTTGTCTCCATCTATATAAAGCAGAACCCTGTCACATTGAAAAAGTAATATACTCTTATTTTAATTTTTATAGCCCTTCCTGTTGTGTTTTTCCATTTCCTTGGAGGAATAACCAGGTCACCGTTTCGGCGGTCCTTGAGCTGCCTCTCCAAAAAGTCTGTTGTCTTGCAGTCCACTGTTGTGGTCTACAGCCGGTTGGAGATGTCCTTGTTCTGCTTTAAACGCCGACTGCAGTTCTGCTGCATAAACTCCACAAAGGTGTAGAGCTGAACAAAGACTAAATTGACAACTGCTCTCTAATGTGGTGGAGCTGATCTCAAATAACAGGATAAAAGACTAACTGGAGAGGCTGCTGATTTCGGCCTGATTTACTTGCAGAACCACCTAGAACTCTCACAGCTTCCACCAAACAGTTCTGCAAGTTATGCTGTTAATTAAGCAAAACTTGCTGTCCAACTGGAAGAAGGTCCAGCACCAAGTCATCAGGTGTTTTAAAGCTTTTTTTCTTTCCCCCCATTATTTTCAGCCCCTTAAGTACCATTTATTGCCATTCTCTACCAGGCATTTATCAAATGGCACCTTCCTGAATTTAAAATCTTCCCAACCGCTGGCACATCTAAAGGTCTTTCTCCTGATTACATTTCCTTGGGAAAAATGTGGTATTAAAAAAAAAATGGATGGGAGAATTACACCAGAATATAAGTTGAGTGAGGCTTTATTTTTGCCATATGGAAATAATTTATTTTCTCCATTTCTAAAGCACTTAATTGACTAATTCCTTATATCATGCTAGTTCAAATTCTTATTTTCCCTTCGTTTACACTTCATGTTTGTACACATGGGTAAAAGTGTTATCTGAAAATATAGACTCAATATATTTTCCCATCTCTGGTATCTCACCCCTTTACCACCTCCCCCTTCCCACTAACTTCTCTCTCTTCCCACTCTAATCCCAATATAAAACAGTCTGTACATTACTTGCTTGTGTTACTATTGGCACTCTCCATTCTCAAACCCACAGGTGAAAAATGCAGTCCCTTGCTTGCTTACCTTGTAGGCAGATGGCGATGCAGAAGTCCACCACCCAGCTGACCAGGGCCATGAGGAGTCCCAGCAGGATGAGGAAGATCCAGTCCTCGCCGACACGCGAGATCAGGAACTTCTGACAGCGAACCGTGCAGACTAGAGGGACGGCAGGAAACAAGGTAACATGTTAGGACTACATCACCCAGAGATTGGCACTAACATTTGGACGGGGCAAACAGAATCTTTTCAAAATTAGCCAATAATAGCTGTGTTTCCATCCAACAGTTTCTGAAATATTGAGCACCAGTAAACATGCTGTCTGCTCAGAAAACTACTTCATCCTAAATGCTACAACACTTTAGTGGTGAGTGATTTAAAAAAACAAATCTTAAAAAAAAAAAAAAAAAAAAAAAAAAAAAGGCAAAAGTTCATCAGTTTCCTAAATTTAAGATCCATATAAAGTTCACCCAGAGTCCAGCAACAAGCAAGCCATGGGAAACACTGTTTTTTGAAGTAGGTGAATTGCTTTTCGACATAATTTAGAATTTTTCTTCGTAAAACTATGAAAATGTAAAATAGAGGACCACTTCTTCAGGGGCTCCATGAGAAACTGTTTGCACGTTAGGTTGCTCATGGAGACATGCGCTTCTGATAAATTCTTTAATTAGATTTCAAGGCTGTAAGGTTTTCAAACTTGTGAAAAGTCAATTCATGGGCAGACATCTTAAATTCTAGACAAATGAGATGTTCTATTCTGAATAGACTTTTGTCTTTGTGGTGCAACTTAATAACAAAAACCTTTTATGACAGATCTGTGAAACCAAAGAGTAATCTTCGACTTCTTTGCATTGACTTGAGTTTTTAGACCTGAAAACCATTTCCTTTTTAAATAAAAAACTGGGATGGAAACTCAGCTAGCTGAGACGTGGAAGCCACATGTTGGAAATGTTACATGGGATGAGAATAAATCTGTCACTGTTACCACTGGCAGCCATGTATAGCAGAGGTTACAACGTCACATTCAACCCGTGTCCAGAATACGATTTCATACACAACGTGGCGAGATGATAAAGACAAATGAGACTACACTGATCAATGAATATTAAATGCACAACAGAAATGTCACTGAAACAGAGGCACTACGAAGCCAAAACACAAAGCACACACAAGGCAGGTTATGAGGCACAATCACATCCGCTTTACTTACCTAGAAGCAACGGGAAACTGAAATTCACGGCTAATATACTGTATAATCCTCAGTGTGAGCCATGCATACACTTCTAGTAATTATGACTAATTGCTGGAACCAAACATTAGTTTGACAGTGACTCATTAGGATGTTCACGCACACACCATAATTCATACAGCCTCTTGTTCACGCCACATCTCCCCCGCCACCCTTTTTCCAAACCTGTCCTCTGTTCCCCATTTCTCCTCTGCAGGGGAAAGACACTTGGGTGCACTGGGTCCTTTTTACGCTTCAGCATGTAGAACAAATGTTCATGTAACACTCCAAATACTTGGACTTTTTTTATTTTAATGGTTGACCTTTATCGCATTCAACTTTTTTTAATATTTCTGCATGGACATGAATTCCCCAACCTTTATTTAATTTAAAACCTGACATGTTAGGCCATGGTTCTCTATCCTTCATATCTCTTATTACATCTGCCCTCCATTGACTTCTGGTGATCTGTCAATATGGAACAAATAAAGAAGAATGACTGTTATTCCTTAGATTGCAAACATGTTTGTCTTTCATCAAATAAAGGTTAAAAAATTCGATAGAATCGTCAGAGCAGCGTTTACTTCCTTTATCCATCTATACAGGCCACCTACTGATCTTTATTTAATCCATGACATATGAGAAATATTTATTTTTAAAGAAAAAAAGAAAGAAAGAAAAACCACACACACACAAATTGTATAAATTCTTCAATAACTGAAACAAGGGGTCATATCCCACAGTAACTGTGTGACAAAGTTCAGGTCATTTCTTGATTCAGATACGTTTTTGTTGGAGTGGAACGTGAAGACTTCATGCCCTCATGCATTCAGTGACTTTTGTCATTTACAAGGGTCCAAATAAGGCCCAGACTCCACATACTTAGTGACATAAAACAAATACACATGTATATCTTTTGGCATTTACAATATGTACTGCAATCTCTTGTCTGCTGTCACACATGTGGACACCGACACAAAACAACTGCTGGCAAACAGAAAAAGAAACTTCTACAATCACCACACTTGGATCGTTCTTTCACTTTAGTGGCATGCAAGTTTTACCAAATCAAAACAAGTTAAAAGTATTTTAGTTTAACAGATGAGCGTTCTGGATTCATGAAACATAGCAAACCTGGCTTTTATAATGGCCTAAATTATTTGAGGCATGGACTACACTGACTCAAAAAAAACCATCTCCATGCAGATGGGTTCACATTTCTCGAACAGCAGAAGACAGATCCGCTTTACAGGATGGAACCCGTCATAAATCTTTTCTTCCCCCTCAATTTCCACCATAAGTTTTGACTGGGACTGATTCACTGAATTGATTTGTTTTTTATAAATAAAACCTCTCAAACTCTTTGCTCTGTGGCAAGATGTATTATCATACTAAAAAAGTGACTTCATTGTCACCAAAACTACTTTGTATTGATAGAATATATATAGTACAATAAAACTGCAGTTGTATTGTACTTTCTGTTATTTTTGGAAACAAGTAACAGAAGGTATTTTTAGGGATAAGTGCTAGCTGTAGCATCTCAGCAATGTTTTTATTAATCCTAACTTTCGAATCCCCTTGCCCTGTAGATCTGTGGGAGTAGAAATCCTGCAAAAGCCACTGAGAAACCAACCTAAAAACAAACAAACAACCATTCAGTTTCCTGTAGAGGTTTGTGTGACATCTCTGTGATGGACACGGGAAATGGAGAAAGAGTCAGACAGGACAGGAGGGGAATAAGAGATGCTGCTGGGACTGAGAAAAGGATGCATGCAGAACACACCCAAGTCGCACTTCAGCTCACATACATCCACGCATCCCCCAATCAACACCTTAAGGAGCAGCCTAACACGCACATGCAGGTGAAAGCTGTGACAAACACAGAACGCACATACACAAAGACACACTCTGCTTTCCATCACTTCAGTCAGTTATATGACAAATCTGAGAAACAGACTTTGTACATGTGTATATTTAGATATACGTGTTATCAGAGCATGTGTGTGTCTGTGTGTGTGGGTGAGGTGTCTGCGTCATCTCACCCACGGGCCGTCTGTGTTCTTGGACCCCTTCTGCCATCTAGACACTAACACTCATTTACATTGACTAGAGTGTGTCTGTGTGTCTCAGGGTGTGTGTGTGTGTGTGTGTGTGTATGAGCATTTAGCCTAAAGTTTAATCTTGCCTTTTTGGAGATGTAATTTAGTTAGCTCAGCCTGTGCTGGTATTGCTTAATAGCTTTTTCTGCAATGCGCACACAAGCACAGATCCTGCAGACTGGTTACTGAGTGTATTCTCTGTGGCATGCAATAAGCAGCATGCTAGTTCCCAATCACTGTCACTGCCTTCCCCACTCACACCCTGCAACCCCAGCCCCCTTCATCCTTAACCTCCTCCTCCTGCAGCTGCTTTCTACTAATCACATTCAACCTGTAGCTTTACCTCTCATCTCCTGCTCTCCCTCACAAAGCCTTATCTCCTGCCTTCCACTCCTTTCCACACTGCCCCCCACCCCCGACACACATGCTTTCTTCCCTCTCCCTGTTTTTCATTCTCACTTGCTCACTCTGTCCTCAGCAAAAACCATGATGCCCACATACCTGCTGAGACCAATTTAGGTTGCCTTGGAGACACAGTGCATCTAGTTCATAGCTCTGGCATTAAGATACTGTATGCGCACACGCTTGTGTTTACTTTGTTGCAACATGTTATGGAGATGCCATAATAGCAAATTAAAAGAAAAGACTAAAGGGTCAAGAATGTACCCCAGCCAATAATAAGGCTGGGGTATATAAAAGAGGGATATTTAAAAAGCCAGTGTGAGAGACATTTGGTCTCTTATTGGACAAATTCCAAATAAATGACGTTTCACAAAATCCAAAGAAAGACAATCAAACAAAATGTCAAAAACTGCAGGTCCATGACTGGCACACATGGCTCACAGGTACATTCTGTAAATTGCTGTTTGAAACCATCCAAATCAACAAAAGCTATCAACAGAATATAAACAAATAGCTTCTAGGACTTCATGTGTTAAAATAACAGATTGTGTTGGGACCAGAACTGTACTGTACCTATACTTTTATGTAATACACCTTTGGACCACATGCTATGGTGCAAAGTCTATGGTAGAAAGCTAAGAAAAGAAATATAAACTGTTTCAACACAGCCCTTAGTAAAACTCTGCCCCCTGGTGTTTAAAAAGTTACATTTTACAGAGCGTAATTACAAAAAGGTATTTTTAACCCTTAAAGTTGGAGGCTGATGACTTTTGAATATTTTCACACAATTATCTTAGAAATAACTTTGCTGTATGGTAATGAACTCTCAACAGGTTTGTGTTACAGTTTTAGTGAGTAACATTTTATTGGTCTCTGTATACATTAGCATTAGTGTTGTGCATTGTTCCCATGATCTATGCACGCAGCTTGCTAGAATTAGTTCATTAACACTCCGACCTGTCATCTAAATACAGATGGCTTAAAATGAGGCATCCAAAAACTATATCGACCTTTTCTATGTAGTCTATGAAACCAAATTAGCCATGTAAGTGGGCAGCATGGTGTTGGAAATCTTATAGTTCGGAGTTTGATTCGTTGCCTCGGGGACAGAGCAGCTGATTCCACTATGAATTATGCATCGTTTCAAAGAGTGCTTGAAGATAATGCGAGGCCATCTGTTTGAAAGCTGTAGTCAAACCAGATAATGACACTAAGTACACTAGTGTTTCCACCATGGAGAGCCCCAAAAAGAAGAAACAGAATGGCACGGGATGTGAAACAGGCAGTACATGTATCTTCAGTTATCTTGCAACTGATTAAGGTTTGCATAGAAGAGTAGTTTCAGCACATCAAAGTCTGAGATTTTTTGGAGAACTCACTTTTGACAGTTCAATAGCTGTGATGTGGACTGTGCAGTTATTTTTTCCTAT